GTTAAATTGTGAATGTCGAAGACGTTCTTCTATAGGCAGGCATAGCCTTCGTGTATCATTGAATTAAAAAATGGGAAGACAATCACAAAAGGAGGATAAGTGCAGTAACATTTTATTCTCCAGTGCGTGGGTGAGAGCGGTGGACAGGACCAGCTCCCTGCCTTGAGGGTCCCGGTCCCAGGGTCTCCAGGCTACTGCCAGGCCGGTGGAAGCTAGTTCAAAAATGATCCGGCCCTTTCATGTGATGGCTCTCCAGAGGCTTTGTGTCATCCCAGCCTGGCAGAGGGCAGGTGGATGTGTGGATGGATTGTTACTAATGGGGTGGAAAGGCCGGACCGAGCCCAATGCGCCCTTCAATGCATGCGGAAGAATAGTTTCCAGTAGGTGGCGGCTACTGATGTTCCCAGGGCGGGTCGTTCAGTCTTCGTCTCGCCATTCTTGCTTGTCGCTGCCCAGGCTGACGGGCCAGCTGTCACTGTGTCCCCACAGTCTAGTGACATTTATTTCGGGGATATCTCTGAGGTCTTTTTTGACCCTTTCATTAGTAATTGATCAGCTTGTTTGACACTCTGAAAATAGAGGCCTTATATTGAAAGTTTGAGGAACTGGGAATAAAGAGGCTTCCTTCCAAATGCAGCTGCTGTTTGGGGCCAGTTAATTTGAACAAAATTGCGAAATAGACGCAGGAGTCAGATAGGGATCGGAATACTGACTTTATTGCTGGTAAAACTGGATGGAGCACTCTGCCTGATGGAGGCCGCAGTGGGACTCTGTAAGCTGAACTTTCTCATCCAGTCAAGATGGAGGAGCCAGGGCCCCCGGGCAAGGCATGAATGGAGAAGAAAAATAGGGCAATGCAGCTGAGGGCCATAAAGAAAAGAATGGAAAGCGTGCTTTCTTAATTTCGTGGCCCACATCCAAAGGTGCAGAGGACCAGTCCCCCATCTCCACTAGGACTTCGGTTGCTGGAAGGCTGCACCTGGCTCTGATTACTGTGGAACAAGGGTCATGTACTGTTTGAGGAAGAGGAGTTGGGAACAGGGTCCCTGTGTGTGGTTGTGCAGTTAACGCAAGGCACAAAGACAGCTAACCAGGGGAACAAGGAGCCCTGGGTCCGCCAGAAGGAAAAGGTGCCCTTGTCCAGATTGTTCCAGGTCACCCGATGGGGTAGTGGTGGCCCTGGTTGGTAAGCCTGTCTGCAGGAATGAACAATTGATGGTAACGTGGGTGTTCCCCAGACAGGAAGTCAGGGACTAGGTACCAAGAACTAATACCTTCAAAATAGTAACAATAATAATGGGAAGTAATTGTTTCCATACGTTATCTCATTTAATCCTTACCACGACTTCCTGAGGTAAATAGTGGCATCCTATTTTGCAGATGAGGCGGTCAGGTCTTAGAAGAAGAAGTACATACAAGGTCATATAGCTGCAGGTCTGGACTTGTCTGTCTCCAGAGCTTGTGTTCTTAACCATTGAACTGGACTCTGAGCACTTTGCATGGGTTTCTAATACATGCTAACTTTTTTCACATTGGCTCACCAAAGGTATTTCTGAACTGTTTGTTATACGATACATGTTAACAGTAACTCCCTTAAATGATATGGCTGTTTGTGGATATTCTCAGGGGCAGCAAAGAAAGGGGGGACCTTGGAAACCAGGGGAGGAGGAGCCCTCTGAGGTAGAAGAACAGGAAAGTTGTCAAAAGGAGAGGAGGGACAGCTAGAACTGAGAAATAATGGCGGGGGTGAGGGGTGCAGGGCAGACTATAGTTGCCTGAATTCCCTACAAGAGAAAGGAGGAGGTGGAGATCATTCTATGATTGAACCATCCTGTTGATTCGGAAAAAGTCCAGGCCAGGCCCACCAGGGCACCCCAGGTGTTCACATCCACAGTTGGCCTTGCATGTTTCTTGTCTGTTGCTGAAGTACAACGTGATTTATCTACATTACAACAATCTGAGATGAAAAGGGAAGCAAGATAACCAATTTAAGAGCACAGATTATTTCCTGAGTCAGTATTCCTGCTGTAATGCCTTTCAACCTCATGAGCTTTGGTAAAATAATATTCAAATATTTGGAGTAAAAGCAGATAACATCCAGACCAGTGAGGTGGCCATTCAACCGCTAACAGCTCCATTGTGCGTTTTTAAATGGATGAAAGTTATTTGCTTTCTTCCACATTTATTTGTGAATCAGAGAACACTTTTATCCCCCCGCCCCCGTTAAGTAGGGATATCGTCCAAACTATTCAGTCTTTTTTTTTTTAAAGTAGCAGGAGTAATTTCTTTAGCTGAGATGTAAATACAATGGTTGGGGGCCTGTGTGGTGACCTCTATTGTGTTTGCAGCTGTAATTTGGATCTTTGAGCAACGTTTTACCCTTTCATTGGAAAAGAAAAGAAGGCAGTAGATCGTAGCTGGAATATTCCCCCAGCCCTTGCTGAGATCATGGGTTACATCAGGTAGAAAGGCTTGGGGGACTGGCGATGAAAGAGCTACAGAGCCTTTCATCTCTGGATTGTAATTTGGAACCTCCTTCCAGTCCCCAGAAAGGGACAGTGTTACCACAGAATGGTGTCCCAAGGACTGTTTGATCTGTCTCCGAGAGTTCACACAGATATAAGCGATTAGAAAAGATGCCTGGGACTTATGATGGCCGATTTTGCTGACTTCTAATTGGTTCCATAATCTGGGGCATTCTCTTGGAGATCAGGAAACGTGTATCTAAACTGCCTTCCCAGTCAAGGGAGCTGGGATTCTCTTCCATCCCAGCATGAAAGAAATGGGGGCCATGTCCCCAGTAGGGAATATCAGCACCTTGCTACTGATAAACTAAATTCTAAAGGGGATTTTCAGAAGAAAGTAGTTCTCTGTCTATACTTTCAACCTTGTTGAAGAAAGAATTAGTAATAACAGCTAACCTCCCCTGAGCTTTTACTAATGCCAGGCAGTGTTCTAAGCACTCTAGGTGGGTATCTCACATAACCCTCATGAAAACCATATAAGATAGGCTAAATCCCCATTTTAGAGGTGTTAAAACTGAGGCTTAGAGAGATTAAGTAACTTGTCGAAAGTTACACAGAATTGGAACCCAAGGAGTCTGACCCATGCATCATCCTGGCAAATCCAAAGAAAGCACCATTGGTGGAAATGGGGACAGATAAATTATGATTTGGGGAGTAGTATAATTGGGCAGATTCCAAGGCAGGAAACTCTTAGGCAGCTCTTACTGGCCTCAGAGAGGGTACATAATATACCCAAGGTACTAATAAATGGCAAGGCTAGGAGACAAAAGTGCTTTAATATTCTGCCTATTTGAAAGAAAAATTAAAAATAAATGTATATCTTACTTTGATGAGTAGCATCTAGGGTGTTAAAAGCTCACAAGCGGCCATTTAAGCTACATCTTTTGGACTCATCCTGTCCCGAGCAAAGGAGAATGAAGAAAACCAAAGAGAGAAGGAAAAAATTAGTCCAAAGGATTAACAGACCACATGAACCACAGCTTCCAGCAGCCGGAGCCCAGAAGAACTAGATGGTGCCCGACTTCCACCACCGAAGGCTCTGATTAATATCACAATAGAGGGTCCTGGACAGAGCGGGAGAAAAATGTAGAACAAAATTCAGATTCACAAAAATGACAGACTTACTGCTCTGACAGAGACTATGGCCCCTGGACACCCTCCTAAGTCAGAACTGAAGCCACTCCCAAAGTCCCCTTTCAGCCAAAGATTAGACAGACCTATAAAACAAACAATAACCCCCATGAGGAACATGCTGCTTAGATCAATCAAGTATACAAAACCAAATGGGCAACTCCTGCCCCAAAGCAAAGATGAGAAGGCAGGAAGGGACAGGAAAACTGGATGAATGGAAACGGGGAACCTGGGGTAGAAAGGAGGAGAGTGCTGACATACCATGGGGATTGCAACCAATGTCAAGAAACAATCTGTGTATACATTTTTGAGTGAGGAACTAATTTGTGCTGTACACTTTCACCTAAAGCATAATAAAATGTTTTTTAGAAAGTGTGTATTTTTAACTTGACGCTTTTACCGATATTGGACGATGACGTATTCTCACCTAGAATAGCCTCATTCCTCCTCACCCCATCCTTCAAGATATAGCCCAGTCCTTTCCAGGACAAGATGTCTTAGACTAATCAGTCTACAGTGTTTTCCTTCCTCTGTCTATCCTCTGAGTAAACCATTAACCTGGCAATGGATCGCTTGCCCTGTCTGTGACTTAAATTAAACGCTACTCTTCTCTCTCATTTTTATATAACTTGCATATGCCTCTGAGTTCTACAAATAGATTATAAACTTTTTCAGAATAAAGCCAAAAAAAACCCAAACCCGTTGCCATCGAGTCAATTCCGACTTGTAGCAACCCTATAGGACAGAGTAGAACTGCCCCATAAGGTTTCCAAGGAGTGACTGGTATTTGCCAACCTTTTGGTTAGCAGCCGAGCTCTTGCTTATGTATTATATCGCCCCCTCCCCCCATGTGTTAAGACCCAACAATGAGTATTTGGTTTGTTTTTCTTGATTGGATAAAAAAACATGGTCACTTGTAAAAATCTTGTAAACTGTTTCAAGTACTATAAAAAATGATTTGCCTCCTAAGGATGGTAAGTATAGGGCTTCATTAAATCAGTGTTTCGCAAGGGTAGTCCAACATCGGAAACCCAAAGACTTCTGAGTCGGTAGGTTACTGTGGACCCAGAAGTCTGAATGTGCCCCACATGACTTTTCTGCTCACTCAAGTTTGAAAAGAGCCCTGGTGGCGCAGTGGTGAAGAGCTCAGCTGCGTGACCAAAAGGTCAGCAGTTTGAAAACCGCAGCTTAAAGTTTTTAATGATTCACATCCTATAAAATTAGCATAAATGCCTGCCTGGCTCTTAAACACAAGGTAAATATGTCCACTGCAGAAGCATTCTTAACAATGTATTGATGAATATTTATTTCATTTTTTTTTTTATTTTATTATTATTTTTGCAGATTTCTGATCAGCATAATGCTGGAGCAAGAGTGTGGCAGCGTGCAGTTTTCAAAATGGCCGAGTTGGACACCGATTTGGACCACATCATTCCGTCTTCTGTTCTTCCTACCTTTTGGGCTAAGTTAGTAGTAGGGTTTGTTTCCCTTGTGTGTTTTGCACGCAGCTATGATGGAGATTTTGTCTTTGACGACTCTGAAGCTATTGTTAACAATAAGGTTTGTATCTTAATTCTTTTCTGGTAAAACTTATGTAGACCGCTTACCGGTTGTCGTTTGTTGCCATTGAGTCTGTTCCAACTAATGGTGACCCCGTGTGTGCAGAGTAGAACTGCTGCAGAGGGTTTCGAAGACTGTGACCTTTCAGAAGCAGGTGGCTTCTCTCTTCCGTGACACCTCCAGGGGGATTCGAACCACCGGCCTTTCAGCTAGGAGTCAAGTGCTTAACCGTTCGCTCTACCCATGTAGCCATTAACCACTTGCCTACGTCTCAATAATAACCTAACTTTGTTTTAATTATTCTCTGTTGAACATAAGTTAACCATTTGTCTGGGCCCCAATTGTATCCTAAATCTGTCATCTGTTTTAGAATCATTTCCTTGATTTAGTGCTTCTTTCATTGCTGGCTTCAGGGTCTCTACCCCCTGCCCAACCTCAGGCTTAACCTCACTGCATACACTATATGAGACCCCCGTCCACGCACCTGTCAGAGGAACCATTTTTCTAAGATGGCAAGGCAAGGGCAAAAAGCATTGCAGACTCAGTAATTCAGGTCTTGTGAAAATTTTCTACGACTCCAAGTCAGAACTGTTTAAAAAAAAATCACGCATTTGCTGTAGTGATGGGTGAGCTGACCACCCGCAGAAGGGTGCATTCTGAGCAGCAACCAGTGAGCTGGCTTCTTTGTCCTTCACCGATGGCATCAGGACAGCCTGCTGACAGCTGCTGCAGAAGCAGTGGTGTGCTGTACACGGGTGCTGCCTGTTCCTGCTCAGGTCCCGTTTGGAGACTCCAACTCACTGTATTTGCAAAATCCAAATCGGTGTTGCTCACCAGTGGGTGCTGTATTGGTACAGGGGAAGCAGTACGCTTTTTCACTTGCTAACGAGAATTAGGAAAGATGAAATAGGTTTGTGCGAAGGGAAGAAAAAGATTCAAGAGAGCTAAAAGAAAATCAGAAAATCACCTCCCTGGGTGGCAGGGAGGGCCCAGAGGAGAAAGCACGTGGTTGGAGCGCTGGTTAGGGTCTTGGTGAAAGCCCACAAATCTAGTTACTTAGCAGATATTTGTGTGTGTGTGTGCCTTTACAGGTGAAGAGGACTTTAAGGAATATACGAATGTATCTTTTAGCAGATGTACTTGTCACAGCACTTTGTAACACTGTTGCTGAATGCTGGGAAAAAATTGAAAGTCGTGGATTTTACCAAATGAGGAAGAAGTCATTTTCAAATCGCGTGTTTTCAGAAAAACTGTCTATGTGACAATAGAGTATTCCATGGGAAAAAAAAGACTTCTGCAGAAATTTAATTTGTAATGTAATACTGTCGTTGATCTCCATTTTGAAGACAGACGCTACGTAGGGCATCGTTGATGTTTGTTTTTAATTCAAATTCAAATTCTTCACTCGTAATTTTCCTGAAGTTCACCCAGCAGTTACTGCAGATGCTTCTGTTTCAGTTCTTTTATTTCACCATGCCTAAAAGAAAAAAATAACTGTGTAGCTCTAAGCAACAACATCACATTGGAGGCTTCACATCCACAGAATGGCTTTTTTTTTAACAAGAATATGATTATATATATTTTAATCCCGTTAATCATTTTGGTAAGTGTTTCTTTTATAAAGTAAGAAATATATAAAGTGCTAACCCAGAATTTACGTCAGAAAACCTTGGTCAGCAAGGCAGGGAAAAACGGCGAGCACTGTTAGATGTGGGACCCCCCCCAGTATATGGATGTCATTCCGTTACTGTGTGGGTTGAGGCAGATGAAGCCATTTTGTGATCTACTGAGCATTGTCTTGGCAGTGTTTTCTGGAGCACCACACTGTGGCCCTTTTGTTAACTTGCTCGTCCTCCCTTTTTTCTTTCCTGTTTAATGAAAGGCACTCCTCCATTCATTGGCACTCTGCCTACGGTCATGTGAAGCAGGCTGTTACTGGTTTTTATTGGTGTTAAAGACTGTTTTCCAGATGCCTTCTTGTAGTGTTGAGTTGCCTTTTATTCACTGAGATGATGATTTTCTTTGAGAGAGTTTAGCTAGCAGGAATTTCAGACAGAAGCCATCTTTTCCGTAAATCATCACGAGGAAGAATGGACCTTTCTGCAAGTAGTGAACCCTCCTGTGTGTGGGCTATACCTAATCAAATATTTAGAGTGTCTTTGGTGTTCATTTTCTGTTCTGATAGAGGAGAAAGAGCCTCTGCCCAACCCCTTCACCGCTGAATAGGTACTGTTGTGTCAATGCAGAAGAACTTCCAGTTTTGTAACTGAGTAAACTAACTCAGGTGGATGGATTACATAACCTTCATAAAATATCTAACCAACTCTGCAGGGGTTCATTATGCTCAAGGCCTCAGGAACCAGTACTCAATGGAAGTGAAATTCACCCTCCTACCTGGGTATGTGAGCCCTGGTGATGCAGTGATTAGGAACTCAGGCTGCAAAGAAACGGTCGGCAGTTCAAATCTGCCAGCCACTCTTGGAAACCCTATGGGGCAGTACTACATTCCTATGAGTGAGAATCGACTCGACAGCAGTGGGTGTTGGTTACCTGAATATGAGGTGACCAACTTTGCAGGATCACCTGTTCTCAAGCCCTTCCCTTTGGCTCGGCAAGCTCTTAAGTAGCAAAGACTTCTGAACTCTGCTGTGTATCGTGGACGTGTGTTGCTCTTTTGGGCCACCCATCACTTGACACACACACACACTTAGGATTCTCATAAGCTGGAAGGGCCATCCAGCTAGGATGCAGGCACAGACATAGGCCCTCCCATCAGGCTCCTCTGCCTTGTTGTTGGGGTCAGGAGCTTGTCATGCGAAGAGCTGGGGGTCCCGTGGTGGCTGGGTAGTTTGATCAGTATGTCCAGTGGTGTGATTTGTGGTTGTCTTCCTGGCTGTTTAGCCCTGAACCTCGTTTCCCAGTCTTCCCAGCGAGTCTGTGAGCCTTTCGTTTTTCTCTAAGACATTCCTTTTTTGCTTAAAATCCATCAGAGCTCATTTTAGTTATTGCAGCGTAGAATCTTAACTGATACACTGTGTAATGCTTAGCACATCATAATTTCTAGTCCCTAAAATATTCCTGTTCAGTTGTGTTTTAAAGAGAAAGTTAATATTCGGTTTTGTTAATTATCCACCGTGCCTTGTTTGCCTTTGTCTACCTTGTCATGCATAGTGTAACCAATCTAGTTTCATATTACTGAAGTAAAAAGATGCATTTTTTAAGCATCTGAGGTGCAGTAATCAAATTAAATTACCTTGTTAGTAAAAGGAGCCCTGGTGGTCCAGTGGTTGACAGCTACGGCAAGCTATGGCTGCTAACCAAAAGGTCGGCAGTTCGAATCCACCAGCCGCTCCTTGGAAACTGAGGTGCTCTACTCTGTCCTGTAGGGTTGCTGTGAGTCAGAATCGACTCGGTGGCAACAGGTTTGGTTTTGGTTTTTCATTAGTAAAAGAGATACAGTTTTTTACATTTAGCAACTTTGTCTTTAAAAATAATGAAGTTGTTTTTTCTCCTTGATTTTACAATCTGCTTTACAGTCAGAAATAAAAGAAAAAAGTTTTCAATATATCCAATTTATGTTTGAAACTGCAGTATTTTTGTCAGGTGTACCTTATGTATTAGCTATAAAGCGGGGTAACAGTGATCTTTCTTATTTAGCTATGTGGTCGACTCATTCATTCATTCAGCAGGTAGTGAGCATCTTCAGCGTACTCCCAGCAGAAAAGCAGGTACCGTCTGGACCTCATGGAGTCTAGCAGGGCCGACAAATAGCACCACTGTGCCAAGTGCTACGAAGATGAGAGATGGTCTTCGACCCCTCGAAGGCAATCAGATCAGCTCAGGAAGGTCAGGATGGACTCATTGAGGAAGGGACTTGATGGCTGAGACAGTGAGATGAGTAGAGCAGTGGAATGTCAGGGGGTGACCATCTGGGTGGAGACCTGCACAGGCAAAGCCTTAGGGATGAGATGGAGCACAGACCATATGGAGGACTGGAAGAAGGCTGGTGCAGCTGAGCAGAGTCGGGGAGAAGTTAGGCAGAAGCTGGGCCCTGCCTGGCTGTGGAGTCCATGCCAGGACCCTGGCTTTGTCCTAAGCATGTTGGAAGTTGGAGTGAAGTGACCTGGTTTGCATTTTGGAAAGATCAGTGTGGAGAACATGTCAGAGGGCGCAAGTGGAGCAGTTAGGAGAAGTGTGTCTATCCTAGGTGAGAGTTTCTGGATGGTGCAAATCAAACACAATCGGCTGCTAACCAAAGGTTGGGAGGTATTAGTCTGCCCAGAAGTGCCTTGGAAGAAAGGCCTGGTGATTTTCTGAAAAATGAGCCATTGAAAACACTATGGAGCACAGTTCTTATCTGACACACATGGGGTCTCTGTGAATTAGAATCAACATGAAGGCAACTGGTACCTGATTCTAGATGAGAGAGAAGGAGCCCTGGGGGGGGCGCAACAGTTAACTGAAAGGTCAGTGGTTTCCCCCCCAGCCCTTGGTACCCTCTAATCTACTTTCTGTCTCTGTTGATTTGCCTATTCTAGATATTTCATGCAAGTAGAATTGTACCTTATTTGTCCTTTTGTGTTTGGCTTATTTCACTCAGAATAATGATCTCAGAGGCCCTGGTGGCACAGTGGTTAAGAGCTATGGCTGCTAACCAAAAGATTGGCAGTTCAAATCCACCAGCTGCTCCTTGGAAACCACATGGGGCGGTTTTAGTCTGTCCTGTAGGGTCACTAGGGGTTGGAATAGACTCGACAGCAACAGGTTTGGTTTGGATTTTGGTATAATGATTTCAAGGGCCATCCGTGTAATAGCGTGAAAAACAGATATTTGATTTAGTGTAGCACTCAGCTGATAACTGAACGTTTTTGGTTTGAACCCACACAGTGGCCCTGTGGGAGAAAATACATGACGATCTGCTCCTGTACAGCTTAGGAAACCCTATCGGTGGTTCTACTTTGACTTATAGGGTCGCTATGAGTCAGAATTGACTTGATGGCACAGAACAACAACCAGTGAGAGATGATGGTGCTTGGCCCGGAAGGTTGATGGTAGAGATGGAGAGTGATGGACAGGTTTGCAAGGTATAGGAACTTGAGAAGAAGGGGGACTTGGTGATGACTGAGACATGGGGATGAAGAAGGACTCTGAGGTGCCTGGTGGGCGTGTATAGACAGGCGGAGATAGGGAACTCCAGAAGCGGTGGGGCGGAGATCATGAGTTACATACCCGTCTCTCTTTGTTGTTACGGAGATAATTCTTTTACGATCATATTTAACTTGGAGCTGCCCATCAGAGCAGGTTTGCTGAATGAAACTCTGTTTAGAAGAGGAGAAACAAAAGCACTTGTACTGCTATTGTTGTTCCTCTGAAAAGCAAAGATCGTGGTAGAGACAGAGTTATTGGATAATTTTTCACAGTCTCTAGTTTATTCAACTTTTTGTTATCATGTCTTTCTTCAGAAATCACTCTGTGCAAATAATCCCCTTGCCTTTGTTTACACGTTATATCTTCTTCATGACAAATTATATTTTGAAAAAGATGGTTTTAATATACCCATAAACAAAAAGAAAAAAGCAAACCCATTGCCATTGAGTCAATATGGATTCATAGCGGCCCTATAGGACAGAGTAGAACTGCCCCATAAGATTTCCAGGGAGCAGCTGGTGGATTCAAACTGCCAACCTTTGGTTTAGCAGCTGAGCTCTTAACCACTGTGCCACCAGGGCTCCAGTATACCCATAACATATACTAAACCCAAAAACCAAACCCGTTGCCGTCGAGTCAGTTTTGGCTCATAGCGACCCTGTAGGGCAGAGTAGAATTGCCCCATTGGGTTTCCAACGCTATAATCTTTACGAGAGCAGACTGCCACATCTTTTCTCCTTTGGATTGGCTGGTGGGTTTGAATGTATGCTAGACATCTGCTATTCACGTTTCACAGGTTAGAGAATCTCACCAAGAAGTGAACAAGTAGTGTACCTGTGATTAGAATCTAGAACTTTATTTTTTTGCTCAATTCCACTCAGCCTTTTTTGCAACATTGTTTTACTTTAGGTTCTCTAACTAATTACCTTTGGTTCTGTTCAGTTGTGATTCTTGTTTGCAAGTGAAAGAGAAGGCAACTGACAAACTAGCACCTTCTGCGTGTGTGGAGCACCAACAGGGCACTCAGGCTGCCATAGGGAACAAGACAGGAGAGACCTTTCTCTCAGGGAACTTAATTCTAGAGGAAGGGGACAGACAGTACGCAAAAGACCAAGATCTTTACAGAAAGTGATAAGGACTATTTAGAAAACAAACAGACAGTGTGATAGGCACCAGATGTTTGCAGAAAGTCTCTCTGATTGACTTTGGGTGTAGCTGGATTCAGGGCTTAGACAAAGTCAAGGACCCAACTTCTCTCGGTCCCCTGGCTCTGCCTTCCACTCTGTTGTCTTCTTTCTTAGACGCCAGTGGAACCCCCTGCAGGTCCAGGCTTACATCCTCATAGCACTAAGTTCAGCCCAAGTGAGCATCTGCTTCCTGCTTAGTTCAGGCAGATGTTCTGGAACTGATCTTCATTGGCCCTGCTTGACCTGACTTGGGCCATGCCCGTCCCTGAACCAGCCATCATGGCAAGAAGATGAAAAACAACAACAAACTCGTTGCTGTCAAGTCAATTCCAGCTCATAGCAACCCTATAGGACAGGGTAGAACTGCCCCATAGGGTTTCCAAGGAGCAGCTGGTGGATTCAAACTGCTAACCTTTCGGTTTGCAGCTGAGCTCTTAACCACTGCGCCACCAGGGCTCTGGGGACAAAAGGGTGCTAACTGGATTGACGTTGGTCACGTGCTCCAGTCCTGAATCAGGTGTGGACTCCACTTCACCAGAGCCTCATGGATTGATAATGGAAGAGAATGCGCTCTAGACAAAATCCCAGGTGTACTGTGGTCGCAAGGTGGAGGGTAGGTGTCTGATGTGAAAAATGCATGTCTAGTATGAATGGAAAAATTTTAACTATTATATTGTAATTACAGTTGTAACGACCTGTATACCTTCAGGACATCGCATGTTCCTCAAGATACAGTTATTTTTTTCGTTTGCAGGTATATCAATTTAATGCTTTGGGGAGTATAATAGCAAAGTGAAAGTGTCTTAAACAGTGAAGAAACATGTTATTTCATACTATAAGAAGCCCAGAGGTAGAATGTTCCTGGATTGGATCCTCAGCTCAGCCATGTCTTCAAGGGTCTGGGCTGTTTGCATATTTTCACTGAGGCACACCCATCATCATATTGGGCGGGCCTAGGCACGCATCGTCATAGTCACAGAATGACTGCCACAGTTCCGGACATCACATACAGATATGACTGCGCAACTGAAGGAAAGGGTGTTTTGTGCATTCCTTATTATTATGGAGGAAAGAATTTTCCAGAATTTCCTGAGCAGACTTCTTCTCAGGACCCAGTAGGCAGTATTAGTTCACCTGTAGCACTATGACAGCAGGTGGTAAAAAATTCTAACATTTCTGGTATCTGTTGGGGGGCATTCCGTGAGGCAGAAGTTAGGGAAAGGATCTGGCAATAGCTGTCGGGCAGCCGACAGCATCTACCACAGCTCACATTCATGGGCATTCATTGTTATTATCTCAGATTAGATTAATTGCTTTTTCATGATTTATTGACTGTAACTTATAGTTAAGTAACTTTCCTGGCAAAATTCTTCTGTTTTCCCGATTATATAATTCATTGTCTTGGTTCTAGCTACAGGAGGGAAGAAGAACAGTCGAAGAAATTCTTCTTCCCTCTAGCCCAGATTCACGAAAAATGTTCAAACCCAAACTGCAATAAATATTTATGGATAGTTAAAAACTAGCATCACTAGGGCAAGGATATTTTTGCATATTTACTTTTGTAGACATACTCTTGGTTCTCCTGCCGCATGGGGACTTGTGTGGACAGAAAGGGACTTGTGTGGACAGAAACGTTTGCAGTGTTGACATTGGGGAGCTAGAAGGACACAAAACACATAAGTGTGAACATAAAGTTAGGAGATTTATTTTAACAAAACACAAATGGACCTGTGTTTGGAGTGAGAGAAAGAACAGCTAGCAACAGATTGTACTCAACAAACTCTCCCGAGTATGTAGATGTGAAAGCTGGGCTTGTTTTTACAGGAGCCCTTGAGTGTTGCTTCCTGTTAAGATGGCTCCAGGGGGACACAGGAAGGAAGGAGTGGAGCCCTGCTCATCTCACTTGAGGGTGGCCCGGCTTGGCTTCCTTCCTCCCTTCCCCCTAGAGCCAGTGGGAAATCCATGTGTGGAGGGTCCATATTAGGTCCATGAAGGGGCATTGTTGTGTTGCCATCAAGTAGATTCCGACTTATAGCGACCCCATGTAACAGAGTAGAACTGCCCCTTAGGGTTTCCTAGGCTGTAATCTTTATGGGAGCAGGTTGCCGGGTCTGTTCTTCCTTGGAGCTGTTGGTGGGTTTGAACCCCGACCTTTCAGTTAGCAGCCGAACATTTAACCATTGCACCACCAGGGCACCTTGAAGGGGCATTAGGACTTGGTTTTTTTTATCCTATGAATAAATAATGTTTCTAAGGGTTGGAGGTCTTGGCCGTCCCCTCCTCTCATTTTCCTTTGTTCAGAATGTCTTCTGCTGTGCTCCTGCAGGATCTCCAAGCAGAAACGCCCCTTGGCGACCTGTGGCATCATGACTTCTGGGGCAGTAAACTGAGCAGCAACACCAGCCACAAGTCCTACCGACCTCTCACCGTCCTGACTTTCAGGTGAGGGATGACAGGGTGAACTGTATGGGAGGGTCGCCCCAAGACTAACCCAAAAGCCAGTTGCCATCGAGTCCGTTCGACTCATGACGACCCATGTGCATCAGAGAACTGTGCTCTGTAGGGGTTTTAATGGCTGATTTTTCACAAGTAGATCACTAGTCCTTTCTTCTGAAGTGACTCTGAGTGGTAGATTCGAACCTCTTACCTTTTAGTCACCACCCAGGGCTACTTGCATATTAAAAGGTCCCTACTGTTGATGATTCACATCATTGACTCCTGTGGAATTATAACGTACCCATATGTAGATCTCTTACAAGTACATGCTTAACTCCAGCTGTTAGGAATTAGGTGACTACAATATCGAAAGAAAAGGAGCCCCAGTGGTGCAGTGGTTAGGCACTTGGCTGCTAACCAAAAGGTCGGCCATTTGAATC